TTTGTCATCTTCTAGTTTTTGAATTGCTTCTTTCTGGTTCCTTGTTATTTTTAAGAGGCTTTTTCTTTCACAATCATATGCCATAAATCTCTCTTCAAGTTTCAGAAGGCTGTCTTTAGTTTCTGTCAAGGTATTTTGCCAGTGTTCAATGGAGTTTTTAGTTTCCTGGTATTATTCTCTTTGAATCTGTTTCATGCATTCTAAGTTATGTTTAAATTCTTCTTCAGAAGTTTCTCTTTCTTTTCTGATTTCCTCAGTTCTTCCATCTGTGTTCTCTTGGGCGGGGCTTGTCATTTCTTTAATTAATCTCTTTATATCTTGTCTCACTTGAATCAGGAGTACACTTTAAATTCTTCTATGAGATCATGAAGGTACTTTTTAATTTCGGCTGATGCTGTGTCGAGCAATGGATGGTTACTGTGCTTGTTCTCTTCGGTGTTTACTTCTCCTGGGCTTATTTTCTCATGTTGGGCAGCTGGAGATTTTTTTAAATTTTTATCTCTTGTCATGTTTCTGGTTTCTTTCAGAATGTCCTGGGGTTCTATGGCCCTCTCCGAATTGCTTAGGGCCTTTCAGAAGCGTGCTGACTTGAGTTTTTGCTGTCCTCCCCAATTTGCTGTTATCTGGGGTAGGCTGGGGTGCAGGGGTGGTACAGGCTAGTCTCCAGCCTCTGCACCATAAATTAGGCTGTACTTTCTGGATGTCACTGAGTTGTGACTATTTTGTATCTGCTTGTTGAGCCCCAAGCAGAGGCTTGGTTTAGCCCCAGTAGCTCCTGCTGGTTCTCTTTGTACCAGAAGCAGCTGACTAATGTCACTATGGCACAGGGTCCTGCCCAAATCCCAGCTGTTCTCTTCCAGACCTCTCTGTGACAGGAGCATCAGAACAGCAGAACTGCCCAAATTCAAGATGTCTCCCACTAGTTCTCTGTATGACACTGAAGCCAACACGTACTCAGGCTCTGCCCAATTTCAAGATGCCTTCCACCAGCCCTCCCTACAGGGGGACTCAGTGATGCCACCGAGCTGTAGGTTCTGCCCAACTGTAAGATGGCTGCCACCAGACTCTGTGATATTGATGTCCTTGTGGTGGCGGGCACTGCCCAGTTCCAAGACATTCTCTGGTCAACCCCAGCAGCCGCGGGGCCCCCAGTACTCACCAGGGTCCATGCCGCCCACCTTTCCCACACTCCCAGCATAGTGCGGAGTGGTCAGGAATCCACGCTGCGTGCACTCCCGGCATGGCGCGGAACGGTCAGGAATTTCTTTATTATGGAAGTATCTTATTCATCAATTTTGAGAGATAATTTTAGTCAAGGTTAGAAGTTGTTTCCCTTTAGAGCTTGAAACACTGACTTCCATGCTGTCCTTGCCTTTAAGTTTTGTGCTGAGAAATCTATTATAATTCCCGGCCACTGATGTGTTACATTGGCTGTTGTAATAAATTCAACAACAACAACGGAATCAAATTTCAAGTGGATACTCACAAATCCTAGAAACCACTCATGATCAGCCCTTCACCAAAACAAGGAAGACTATCTTTTAAGTGAGTTATACTTACTGTAGTAGTTCATGCCACTAAGTTTTGATGGATATAAGTGGCATAGTGCATACATGCACTATGTATGCCCTCTTTAGAAGTGGCCCTCTAACTGTTACTTCCACCAAACCTGGTCTCCCACAAGAGAATGCTGCCTCCATGATCTTCCTGTTTAAAACCCATACCTCCCAGTTGACCCCAGGAGATCTGTATTTAGCTCTCACCCTATCTATCCTGTCTCCAAAGGATCTTGCCTGTTCTCTGAGGTAGACTGTCAGTTCAGTGTTGGACTGAAACTTTCTGGGCATTACTCTCTTCCTAGTGCAGGTGGATCTGTTGGTTTTCACCTTTGTGGCCCTGTGCTGTGGGGAACCCAGGACTGGGGGATGGTGTGCTCAGGTCTGGGATCTCCTTACCCAGTGTGGGTCCCAGGCAGGCATCTATGTCAGCTGGGGATACAATGCTGAATTCCTGGGTTATCATCAAACTCTGCTTTGGGACAGGGGCATTGGCTTTGTCTGGGAGTGGGGCTCTCAGACTGAGGTTTGCTATTTGTGCTCTGGTTTTGCTGGTCGTTTGATCTTCCACTAGCTAAAGAAGTTTAACATAGGTTCATAAAGCACAAAAGCAGGGATTTAACTGAGAGCTTCACACATGTGAGGCATGTGTCATAGCACTGAGATACACCCCAGACTCTTGGGAATTGAGGATCATTATCCTTAGCGATCCCATGTAATTGCTAATACAATTCTCCATGGTGTACAAGTAGTGTCACATTTTTGATTTTTCTAATTAACCACTTGGGTCCTGACATGTCTAAGTTAGCAGAAAATCTTGTTACTTTCCTGTGGGAGCTCCTAAACCCTCCTCCATGAATTTTCCAAAAATCCAAGAGATTGCTTAAAACTGAGGAATTCAGTTCTCTTTCACAAGTCAAATGTGCTTTCGTGATTTGTGTTGCTATTAAATATCTCTCAGTGTAGTGGTGATTAAGCTTTGGTCCTAGGTTGTCATTACTGATTCAGATCTCTGAGCCTTCATGGAAATACACACTTAATTGCAGCCTATTTTACTTACTGATTTAGTATTTGTGCTTTTATATTCAGTTTCTATCCCTGAACTAGCAGCACTTTACTTTGGTGGCTGAACCTCATAGATTTGCCCCAAGCATAGGAAGCAAAATGACTATACCTACTCCTTCAGAATCCTACATGGATCCTGCATGTTGGTGGAGACCTTCACCGTGGCTCATGCTTTGAGACCTTCATTAGTCTTCTGCCAGAAAATAAGAGTTGGGATCATTGTAAAGTCTTGGAGGGCTCAAGTAATGTTTAAGAAAGAGATCAAAGTTCCTTTTTTCTTTGTTACCAGATCTTTACCCAGAAGTCTCTTTATACAGAGTAGCACCTTTAAATAAGTTCTGAAAGGTCCTGAAATAAGCCTTGAATTGGCAACAACTTCTGATTGGCTTCTGAAACTGTTTAGTACTGAAAATTTACTTTTGTTTTGGAACCAAGACTCTAGAATATTTACAGATTTTGTCTCATACAGAAGCCATTAAATGACACTCTCTGAATTCATAGTAGATTAGTTGCATTTAAAGAGAACTAAGCCCCAGCATGACACAATATGTCCCACATATAAGAGTGTTTTGCCTTTCATTTCAGTTGGAGACAGACAGAAATTGAACCAGAAGATCTTTATTAGAATCACACTCAGAGTTTTGTTGTGTAGAGGAAGAATATTAGTCCATTCCAGGTCATTAAAAGAACTAACTTTTAACTTCATTAGTTCTCTGTATTATCTTCTTAGTGTCAGTTGCATTAATTTCTGCACTGATCTTTTTTTTTTTCAATTTTATTTAAGGGGAAAAAGAAAAAAAGCAGAAAAAGGGTACACGTTTTTCAGAAAAAAAATAAACAGTAGGAAATCACTAGTTAGTGGATTACATATTGTCATCTTAGAAATATTTGTTCAAATTACAAAATTAAAGCTTATGTATTGGACATTCAAACAGTGAGACCAAACAGTTCTGTTCAATGATCCAACAAAACTCAGTAATATCACTGTCTATCTTATACACTGATCTTTATAACTTCCTCCTTTATATGGGTTTTAGTCTTCCCTTTCTCCTCTTTACCTAGAAACTTGAGATGCAACATTAAGTTGTTGCTCCTTCTGTTTTTCTGATGTGAGACTTCACTATTACAAATTTCCCATAGGACTACTTTCATTGCATTCCAAAGGTTTCAGGAAGTTGTATCTGCATTTTCATTTAATTGTAGACATTGTTTAATTTCTTTTTAAATTTCATCTGTGACCCATTGGTTGTTCAGGAGTATGTTATTTATTTCCATGTGTTTATGGAATTTTTGCGGTTTCTTTTGGTGTTAATTTCCAGTTTCACTGGGATGTCATCAGGAAATATGCCTGGGATAAGTTCAGTTCCTTAGTACTTACTTAAGCATATTCTGTGGGCCAGTATATGGTCTAGAGAATGTCCCATTTGCAGCTGAGAAGAACATGTATCCTAATGTTGTTCGGTGGAATGTTGTAAACACTTACCAAGTCCACTTGTTCACAGGTTTTATTCAGTTCTGATATTTGTTTGCTGATTTTTGTCTACTTGGTTTATGTCTTTGTGACAATGGGGAATTAAACAGCTCCATCACAATTGTATTAATTCTTATTTGATTTTCCCTGTCTGGTCGTGTTTGTCTGATACAGTTATGTGTTCTGCTTGAAGTTTTATTCCAGGTCCTGATATCTGTTACTTTTCTGCCATTGGCATAACTAGTTCAGTAGTAGAGGACAAATATGTTGTCCAATTTAATGAGATATTTATAAATAGACTTAGTTATAAATTATTTAAAAGTTGATATACCATGAATTATAAGCCACAGAGAAGAGAAGAGCTCATAGTCCAAATTAAGACCCATTATTTTCTGGTAACTACAGCACTTGAATACTACAATCTGAAAATACACACGTTGGGTTGTAGTTGGAATTCCAAATTAGGTGAGCATTTAGGAACTACTCACCCCTTACTTTATTATTTCTGAGAGCAGGTTTCTATGTTACCTCATCAAACCTTCATGGGATTCTGGTAAACTAAATTAGCCAAGTCCTTACAGTTTATAAGACTTTGAGTCTAAGGGAAATGACTTATGCAAAAAGAAACAGCTGTTGGTTTTCAAGCCGGAGCTTGTGATTTCAAGACAGTTTCTCTTAAATTGTGCTAATCCAGCTAATGCTTGGAGCTGTCTTGCCTTTCTTGATTGATGCCTGCCTCACTTTACTTACTGTTTTTTCTTCCTTAATTACAGGTGTAATAAAGTTTTGTAGACACGACAGATTTGAAGTATTGGAGTAAAGTTTTCATATTAGATCTAACATTGTCTGAAATATGCTTAGTAATTTAATATGTTTTATATCAATTTTAAATCACTTTTTTTGCATAGAAAAAATTCTCAATGTGAAAAAAAGGAATCTTCAAATTCTGACAATAGCCCTGCAGGTAAGACTTCTCATAGTGAATTACACTTGGTGGCCCTGTCTTGATTTTCAAAGACAAAAGGATGAGTGTGAAGGCACAAACCTGTAACCCCAGCACTGGCGAGGCTGAGGCAGGAGTACCTTCTTGTGTTGAAGGCAATCCTGCACTACATAGTGAGACCCTGTCTCAAAGAACAAAAAACAAAAGACAAAAACAACAAAAAAGGAAAAGAGTAAGAAAAAATTTTGAACACAGAGGAGTTAAAACATTCACTGTGTCAATTAAATTTATATTTCCTTAATTTTTTTAATAATTCAGAACTCAGAATTATTTAAGAAATGAATTACAAGAAAGACCTAATCTAAAACATTCCATTTATTTAATTTTTACTTCTAAAATTCTAAACACAAAAAAGAATTTTAAACCAGTGTGGCTACTTTCTGTGCACTAACATTAGAGTAAACTTTTAATTTTTAAGTAATGGATTAGACTTAGTAAAGGAATATTACTCCATGATTTTATTACTGAAAAGTGATTTTTGTGACTAAAAATAGCATGCTAAGTCACTTTTATCCGTTATTTTCCATCCTAAGTATGTCATTTATATGGATCTGTATAATTTGTTACTCCTCAGTTCAGGAGATAATATCTATCACTGCTACTTTGATCTTGGAATTATTTCCAATTGTATACCGAGTTTCTGTAACATGGTAATGGTAGATTCAGTAACTATGTTCAATTAATAGTGTTTTCTCTTTGTTTCTTTTCTTTATCTCTTCTGTTCTCTTATTTGTAGTGGTTGCAAGTGAATCTGAGACTTCTTTAACACCAGGCAAGTACCCCTCCACTCAGGTGTATCTTTTGCTCCAAGAAGTTTGTTTTTTATATCAGGTTTTAGTTCACAGCAAAATTAAGAGGATATCCAAAAATTTCTGGTTTATTATGTGCCTCTCACACATGGGTTGCTTTCCTCAGGGGCCAGAGGCCTCCACTACATTAGAATGCTTGTTATAGACTATGATTTACAGGGGTCCATCATTACCATCCGAAGTGTCACTTTTAGTGTTCTGTATCAGATGGCTGTTTTAAAATGTGTAGCATATTTACTGTTGCATCTATGTTTATTCTTTATTTTTTCTTAACACTGCAGAATTCAGAAGTATTTAAGAAATTAAGTATAGGAAATTTAGAATCTAAAATACTCCATTTATTTAATTTTTACTTCAGAAATCCCATACACGAAAAAGAGTTCTAAATCAGTATGGCTAATTTATACACACTAACACTAAAGTTTTAATTTAAGTAAATTTGTTAGACTTAGTGAAAGAATATTATAATATGGTTATATCACTAAAAAGTGAGTTTTTGACTAGAACTATTACATTAAGTCACTTTTCTCAATTATTTTCACTTAGATGTGCAGTTTATATTTTTCTGGATATTTTCCTGTTCTTCACTTAAGAGATTATACCTATACTGTGGTGCTTTGATCTTGAAATTATGTGAATTTGTATACTGAGTTTCTGTAACATGATACTAGTAGATTTAGTAACTATTTTCATTTAATAGCTTTTACCCTATGTTTCTTTCTTTTCTCCTGTATGCTTTTCTTTCCTTTTGTCTTCTTTTTTTGCAGAGGTTGCAATTAAAATGGAGGCTCCATCCATGCCAGGTAAGTGCTCTATCAGTGAGCTGTACCCTTTGCACTAAGACTTTTTTAAAATCAGGATTAATTTTGCAGCAAAGTTGAGAGCAAGATCCAGAGATTTTTGGTTGATCACATGCCTCTTGCACATGAGTTGCCTCCATCCACAGCCAGTGGCCTCCTCTAAAGTAGTACAGTTGGTGTAGACAATGACTTTACACTGGCCCATTATTACCAAGCAAAGTCGGCAGTCAGTGTTAGGATTCACTGTTAGAGTTCCCCATCTCATGGGTCTATTGTAATGTGAAGTGTATTTACAGTTCAATTTATATTTGTGTTTAATTTTTGTTAATACTCCATATTTAGAAGAATTTAGAAAGTGAATTACAAGAAATTTATAACCTAAAATACTTCATTCATTTAATTTTCCTTGAATTTGTATACATGAAAAAGTTTTAAATCACTATGGCTACCTTGTATGAATTAAGATTAAACATTTAATGTTTTAAATAAACATGTTGGACTTAGTAAAAGAATATTACTACAAGAGTGTATTACTGAAAAGTGATTTTTGTGACTAAAATTAAAATGTTGTCACTCTTATGAATTATTTTCCCACTTAAGTATTTAATTTATATGGCTTTGTATAATATTCCTGGATATTTTCTGGATACTGGATATTTTCTGATACTAATAGTGTGCTACTTTGATCTTGGAATTATCTCCTATTGTACATTGAGTTTCTATAACATGGTAATAGTTTCAGTACCTGTCTTTAATTAATAGCTTTTCTTCTTTGTTTCTTCTCTTCTGTTTTCTTTTCGGTTCCATTCTTTTCTTTTTTGCAGTGGTTGCCAAAAAACCTGAGATTCCATTCGTATCCGGCAAGTGCTGTACCATGGAGTTGTACCCTTTGCACTATAAACTGTTTTTTTAAATTTCAGGCTTAAGTTCACAGCAAAATTGAAAGGAAGATCCAGAGATTTGCAGTTGATCATGTACCTCTCACACATAAGTTGCCTCCCTCTATGGCCAGTGCCCTCCCTTAGACTAGAACACTTGTTATGGAGAGTGACTTAAACCGGTCCATTATTATAATCCAAATCTGCAGTTAATATTAGTTTCACTGTTAGTGTTCTCCATCTGATGGGTCTATTCAAATGTGTAGTGTATTTGCTGTTGCATTTATATTTGTTCTTAATTTTGTGTTAAATTCCAGAATTCATAAGTATTTAAGACATGAAGTATAGGAAATTATGATTTAAAATATTCCTTTTATTTAATTTTCAATTTTGTAATCTTGTACATGATAAAGTATTTTAAATCAGTAGGTCTAGTATCTGTGCACTAACATTATAGTGAAGTTTTAATATTTTAATAAATGCATTAGACCTAGTAAAACCATTTTACTACATGATTGTATCACTAAGAAGTGATTGTTGTGAATAAAAATAAAATGTTAAGTCACCTATCAATTATTTTCTTGCCTAGGTATGTGACTTATATTGTTCTATATATTTTCCTATTGTTTGGTTTAGGAGATGATACCTATTCTGTGCTACTTTGATCTTGTAATTATCTCCAGGTATATACTGAGTTTCTGTAACATGGTAGTAGTAGTTTCGGTAACTACATTTAATTAACAGCTTTTTCCTGTGTTGTTTTCTTTTGTCTTCCCTTTTGCAGAGCCTCAACCTATTCTTGTGGCTCCATTCAGGCCAGGCAAGTGCGCTATCACTGAGGTGTATCCTTTACACTACGAAGTTTGCTTTTTTATATCAGGTTTAAGTTCACTGCAAAATTGAAAGGAAGCTCCAGAGATTTGCAGTTGATCATGTGCCTCTCACACATAAGTTGCCTCCTTCCATGGCCAGTGCTCTCCCCTAGAGTAGTACACTTGTGATAGATGATGACTTACCATGAGTCTACCCTTATCCTTAAAATCTGAATCTGCGGTTAATGTTAGGGTTCACTGTTAGTGTTCTCCATCTGATGGGTCTAACAAATGTGTAGGGTATTTACTGTTGCATTTATGTTTGTTCTTAATTGTTTGTTAATACTCCATATTCAGAAGAATTTAGGAGATGATTATAGGAAATTTTTAATCCAAATGTTACACTTCTTTAATTTCTACTTCTGAAATCCTATACATGAAAAATAGTTTTAAATTAGTATGGTTACTTTGTGTGTACTAACATTAGAGTAAACTTTTAATTTTTTAAGTAAATGTGTTAGACTTAGTAAAAGAATATTACTACATGGTTGTATTACTGAAAAGTGATTTTTGTGACTAAAAATAAAATTTTAAGTCACTTAACAATTATTATCTTCCCACTAAAGTATGTAATTTGTATTGTTCTGTATAATGTCCTACTCTGGTTTAGGAGGTGATATCTACACACTGTTACTGTGTTTTTGAATTATCTCCAATTGTATACTAAATTTCTGTATCATGGTATTAGTAGATTCATTAACTTTCTTTAAATAATACCTTTTTCTTTGTTTCTTTGTTTATTCTCTTTTTTTTTCTGTTTCATTGTCTTCCTTTTTGCAGTGGTTGCCACTCAACCCGAGACTCCACTCAAGTCAGGCAAGTGCTCTACCACAGAGGTGCACCCTTTTCACTAAGAACTTTGTTTTTTATGTCTGGCTTAGGTTCACAGCAAAGTTGAAAGGAGGATCCAGAGGGCTTTGATTGATCATGTCCCTCTCACACAAAGTGTTTTGCTTCCCTCCATGGCCAGTGCCCGCCCCTAGAGGAGTACCCTTGTTACAGATGATGACTTACAGTGGTCCTTTGTTACGTTATCATCTAACGTTGGCAGTTAACATTAGGGCAAACTGTTGGTGTTCTAGATCTGATGGGTCTACTCAAATGTGTAGTATATTTACTGCTGCATTTATATTTGTTCTTGTTTTTTTCTTAATACCTCAGGATTCAGAAGTATTTAAGAAATTAACTGTAGGAAAATTTTATTCCAAAACACTCCATTTATTAATTTTTACTTCTGAAATCCTATACATGAAAAGAGTTTTAAATCACTATGTTTAGTGTCTGTGTAATAACATATAGTGAAGGTTTAATATGTTAATAAATGCATTAGACTTAGTAAAAACCATATTACTGTATGATTGTATCACTGAGAAGAGTTTTTTGTGACTAAAAATAAAATGTTAAGTCACTTATACATTATTTTCCCCCCCAAGATTTTAACTTACGTTGTTCTCCATATTTTCCTATTCTTCAGTTTAGGAGATGATATCTAGTCTGTGCTACTTTGATCTTGTAATTATCTCCAGGGGTATACTGAGTTTCTGTATCTTCTGCAGTAGTGGGTTCAGTAACTATCTTTAATTAACAGCTGTGTTTCTTCTCTTTTATTTTTTATGTGTTCTCTTTTCCAGGGATTGGTAGACCTGGCACTCCACTCATGCAAGGCAAGTGCCCCTCCACTGAACTGTACCCTTTGCACTATGAACATTTATAAACATCAGGATTAAGTTCACGGCAAAATTGAAAGGAAGATCCAGAGATTTCCAGTAGACTGTGTGCCTCTCACACATGAGTTGCCTCCCTCCACAGGCAGTGCCCTCCTCTAAAGTAGTACACTTAGTGTAGACAATGACTTACACTGGCCCATCATTACCAAGCGAAGTCTGCAGTCAGTGTTAGGATTCACTGTTTGTGTTCCCCTTCTCATGGTTCTATTGTAATGTGAAGTGTATTTACAGTTCAATTTATATTTGTGTTTAATTTTTTGTTAATACTCCATATTTAGAAGAATTTAGGAAATGAATTATAGGAAATTTATAACCTAAAATACTTCATTCATTTAATTTTCCTTGAATTCCTGTACATGAAAATGTTTTAAATCACTATGGCTACTTTGTGTGAATTAAGATTAAACTTTTAACATTTTAAACAAATGTGTTTGACTTAAAATGTTGCCCCTCTTATGAATTATTTTCCCACTTAAGTATTTAATTTATATGGCTTTGTATAATATTCCACTCTTTGGTTTAGGAGATGATAGTAATAGTGTGCTACTTTGATCTTGGAATTACCTCCTATTGTACATTGAGTTTCTATAACATGGTAATAGTTTCAGTACCTGTCTTTAATTAATAGCTTTTCTTCTTTGTTTCTTCTCTTCTGTTTTCTTTTCGGTTCCATTCTTTTCTTTTTTGCAGTGGTTGCCAAAAAACCTGAGATTCCATTCGTATCCGGCAAGTGCTGTACCATGGAGTTGTACCCTTTGCACTATAAACTGTTTTTTTAAATTTCAGGCTTAAGTTCACAGCAAAATTGAAAGGAAGATCCAGAGATTTGCAGTTGATCATGTACCTCTCACACATAAGTTGCCTCCTTCTATGGCCAGTGCCCTCCCTTAGACTAGAACACTTGTTATGGAGAGTGACTTAAACCGGTCCATTATTATAATCCAAATCTGCAGTTAATATTAGTTTCACTGTTAGTGTTCTCCATCTGATGGGTCTATTCAAATGTGTAGTGTATTTGCTGTTGCATTTATATTTGTTCTTAATTTTGTGTTAAATTCCAGAATTCATAAGTATTTAAGACATGAAGTATAGGAAATTATGATTTAAAATATTCCTTTTATTTAATTTTCAATTTTGTAATCTTGTACATGATAAAGTATTTTAAATCAGTAGGTCTAGTATCTGTGCACTAACATTATAGTGAAGTTTTAATATTTTAATAAATGCATTAGACCTAGTAAAACCATTTTACTACATGATTGTATCACTAAGAAGTGATTGTTGTGAATAAAAATAAAATGTTAAGTCACCTATCAATTATTTTCTTGCCTAAGTATGTGACTTATATTGTTCTATATATTTTCCTATTCTTTGGTTTAGGAGATGATACCTATTCTGTACTACTTTGATCTTGTAATTATCTCCAGGTATATACTGAGTTTCTGTAACATGGTAGTAGTAGTTTCGGTAACTACATTTAATTAACAGCTTTTTCCTGTGTTGTTTTCTTTTGTCTTCCCTTTTGCAGAGCCTCAACCTATTCTTGTGGCTCCATTCAGGCCAGGCAAGTGCGCTATCACTGAGGTGTATCCTTTACACTACGAAGTTTGCTTTTTTATATCAGGTTTAAGTTCACTGCAAAATTGAAAGGAAGCTCCAGAGATTTGCAGTTGATCATGTGCCTCTCACACATAAGTTGCCTCCTTCCATGGCCAGTGCTCTCCCCTAGAGTAGTACACTTGTGATAGATGATGACTTACCATGAGTCTACCCTTATCCTTAAAATCTGAATCTGCGGTTAATGTTAGGGTTCACTGTTAGTGTTCTCCATCTGATGGGTCTAACAAATGTGTAGGGTATTTACTGTTGCATTTATGTTTGTTCTTAATTGTTTGTTAATACTCCATATTCAGAAGAATTTAGGAGATGATTATAGGAAATTTTTAATCCAAATGTTACACTTCTTTAATTTCTACTTCTGAAATCCTATACATGAAAAATAGTTTTAAATTAGTATGGTTACTTTGTGTGTACTAACATTAGAGTAAACTTTTAATTTTTTAAGTAAATGTGTTAGACTTAGTAAAAGAATATTACTACATGGTTGTATTACTGAAAAGTGATTTTTGTGACTAAAAATAAAATTTTAAGTCACTTAACAATTATTATCTTCCCACTAAAGTATGTAATTTGTATTGTTCTGTATAATGTCCTACTCTGGTTTAGGAGGTGATATCTACACACTGTTACTGTGTTTTTGAATTATCTCCAATTGTATACTAAATTTCTGTATCATGGTATTAGTAGATTCATTAACTTTCTTTAAATAATACCTTTTTCTTTGTTTCTTTGTTTATTCTCTTTTTTTTTCTGTTTCATTGTCTTCCTTTTTGCAGTGGTTGCCACTCAACCCGAGACTCCACTCAAGTCAGGCAAGTGCTCTACCACAGAGGTGCACCCTTTTCACTAAGAACTTTGTTTTTTATGTCTGGCTTAGGTTCACAGCAAAGTTGAAAGGAGGATCCAGAGGGCTTTGATTGATCATGTCCCTCTCACACAAAGTGTTTTGCTTCCCTCCATGGCCAGTGCCCGCCCCTAGAGGAGTACCCTTGTTACAGATGATGACTTACAGTGGTCCTTTGTTACGTTATCATCTAACGTTGGCAGTTAACATTAGGGCAAACTGTTGGTGTTCTAGATCTGATGGGTCTACTCAAATGTGTAGTATATTTACTGCTGCATTTATATTTGTTCTTGTTTTTTTCTTAATACCTCAGGATTCAGAAGTATTTAAGAAATTAACTGTAGGAAAATTTTATTCCAAAACACTCCATTTATTAATTTTTACTTCTGAAATCCTATACATGAAAAGAGTTTTAAATCACTATGTTTAGTGTCTGTGTAATAACATATAGTGAAGGTTTAATATGTTAATAAATGCATTAGACTTAGTAAAAACCATATTACTGTATGATTGTATCACTGAGAAGAGTTTTTTGTGACTAAAAATAAAATGTTAAGTCACTTATACATTATTTTCCCCCCCAAGATTTTAACTTACGTTGTTCTCCATATTTTCCTATTCTTCAGTTTAGGAGATGATATCTAGTCTGTGCTACTTTGATCTTGTAATTATCTCCAGGGGTATACTGAGTTTCTGTATCTTCTGCAGTAGTGGGTTCAGTAACTATCTTTAATTAACAGCTGTGTTTCTTCTCTTTTATTTTTTATGTGTTCTCTTTTCCAGGGATTGGTAGACCTGGCACTCCACTCACGCAAGGCAAGTGCCCCTCCACTGAACTGTACCCTTTGCACTATGAACATTTATAAACATCAGGATTAAGTTCACGGCAAAATTGAAAGGAAGATCCAGAGATTTCCAGTAGACTGTGTGCCTCTCACACATGAGTTGCCTCCCTCCACAGGCAGTGCCCTCCTCTAAAGTAGTACACTTAGTGTAGACAATGACTTACACTGGCCCATCATTACCAAGCGAAGTCTGCAGTCAGTGTTAGGATTCACTGTTTGTGTTCCCCTTCTCATGGTTCTATTGTAATGTGAAGTGTATTTACAGTTCAATTTATATTTGTGTTTAATTTTTTGTTAATACTCCATATTTAGAAGAATTTAGGAAATGAATTATAGGAAATTTATAACCTAAAATACTTCATTCATTTAATTTTCCTTGAATTCCTGTACATGAAAATGTTTTAAATCACTATGGCTACTTTGTGTGAATTAAGATTAAACTTTTAACATTTTAAACAAATGTGTTTGACTTAAAATGTTGCCCCTCTTATGAATTATTTTCCCACTTAAGTATTTAATTTATATGGCTTTGTATAATATTCCACTCTTTGGTTTAGGAGATGATAGTAATAGTGTGCTACTTTGATCTTGGAATTACCTCCTATTGTACATTGAGTTTCTATAACATGGTAATAGTTTCAGTACCTGTCTTTAATTAATAGCTTTTCTTCTTTGTTTCTTCTCTTCTGTTTTCTTTTCGGTTCCATTCTTTTCTTTTTTGCAGTGGTTGCCAAAAAACCTGAGATTCCATTCGTATCCGGCAAGTGCTGTACCATGGAGTTGTACCCTTTGCACTATAAACTGTTTTTTTAAATTTCAGGCTTAAGTTCACAGCAAAATTGAAAGGAAGATCCAGAGATTTGCAGTTGATCATGTACCTCTCACACATAAGTTGCCTCCCTCTATGGCCAGTGCCCTCCCTTAGACTAGAACACTTGCTATGGAGAGTGACTTAAACCGGTCCATTATTATAATCCAAATCTGCAGTTAATATTAGTTTCACTGTTAGTGTTCTCCATCTGATGGGTCTATTCAAATGTGTAGTGTATTTGCTGTTGCATTTATATTTGTTCTTAATTTTGTGTTAAATTCCAGAATTCATAAGTATTTAAGACATGAAGTATAGGAAATTATGATTTAAAATATTCCTTTTATTTAATTTTCAATTTTGTAATTTTGTACATGATAAAGTATTTTAAATCAGTAGGTCTAGTATCTGTGCACTAACATTATAGTGAAGTTTTAATATTTTAATAAATGCATTAGACCTAGTAAAACCATTTTACTACATGATTGTATCACTAAGAAGTGATTGTTGTGAATAAAAATAAAATGTTAAGTCACCTATCAATTATTTTCTTGCCTAAGTATGTGACTTATATTGTTCTATATATTTTCCTATTCTTTGGTTTAGGAGATGATACCTATTCTGTACTACTTTGATCTTGTAATTATCTCCAGGTATATACTGAGTTTCTGTAACATGGTAGTAGTAGTTTCGGTAACTACATTTAATTAACAGCTTTTTCCTGTGTTGTTTTCTTTTGTCTTCCCTTTTGCAGAGCCTCAACCTATTCTTGTGGCTCCATTCAGGCCAGGCAAGTGCGCTATCACTGAGGTGTATCCTTTACACTACGAAGTTTGCTTTTTTATATCAGGTTTAAGTTCACTGCAAAATTGAAAGGAAGCTCCAGAGATTTGCAGTTGATCATGTGCCTCTCACACATAAGTTGCCTCCTTCCATGGCCAGTGCTCTCCCCTAGAGTAGTACACTTGTGATAGATGATGACTTACCATGAGTCTACCCTTATCCTTAAAATCTGAATCTGCGGTTAATGTTAGGGTTCACTGTTAGTGTTCTCCATCTGATGGGTCTAACAAATGTGTAGGGTATTTACTGTTGCATTTATGTTTGTTCTTAATTGTTTGTTAATACTCCATATTCAGAAGAATTTAGGAGATGATTATAGGAAATTTTTAATCCAAATGTTACACTTCTTTAATTTCTACTTCTGAAATCCTATACATGAAAAATAGTTTTAAATTAGTATGGTTACTTTGTGTGTACTAACATTAGAGTAAACTTTTAATTTTTTAAGTAAATGTGTTAGACTTAGTAAAAGAATATTACTACATGGTTGTATTACTGAAAAGTGATTTTTGTGACTAAAAATAAAATTTTAAGTCACTTAACAATTATTATCTTCCCACTAAAGTATGTAATTTGTATTGTTCTGTATAATGTCCTACTCTGGTTTAGGAGGTGATATCTATACACTGTTACTGAGTTTTTGAATTATCTCCAATTGTATACTAAATTTCTGTATCATGGTATTAGTAGATTCATTAACTTTCTTTAAATAATACCTTTTTCTTTGTTTCTTTGTTTATTCTCTTTTTTTTCTGTTTCATTGTCTTCCTTTTTGCAGTGGTTGCCACTCAACCCGAGACTCCACTCAAGTCAGGCAAGTGCTCTACCACAGAGCTGCACCCTTTTCACTAAGAACTTTGTTTTTTATGTCTGGCTTAGGTTCACAGCAAAGTTGAAAGGAGGATCCAGAGGGCTTTGATTGATCATGTCCCTCTCACACAAAGTGTTTTGCTTCCCTCCATGGCCAGTGCCCGCCCCTAGAGGAGTACCCTTGTTACAGATGATGACTTACAGTGGTCCATCGTTATCATCTAATGTTGGCAGTTAACATTAGGGCAAACTGTTGGCGTTCTCCATCTGATGGGTCTACTCAAATGTGTAGTATATTTACTGCTGCATTTATATTTGTTCTTGTTTTTTTCTTAATACCGCAGAATTCAGAAGTATTTAAGAAATTAACTGTAGGAAAATTTTATTCCAAAACACTCCATTTATTAATTTTTACTTCTGAAATCCTATACATGAAAAGAGTTTTAAATCACTATGTTTAGTGTCTGTGTAATAACATATAGTGAAGGTTTAATATGTTAATAAATGCATTAGACTTAGTAAAAACCATATTACTGTATGATTGTATCACTGAGAAGAGTTTTTTGTGACTAAAAATAAAATGTTAAGTCACTTATACATTATTTTCCCCCCCAAGATTTTAACTTACGTTGTTCTCCATATTTTCCTATTCTTCAGTTTAGGAGATGATATCTAGTCTGTGCTACTTTGATCTTGTAATTATCTCCAGGGGTATACTGAGTTTCTGTATCTTCTGCAGTAGTGGGTTCAGTAACTATCTTTAATTAACAGCTGTGTTTCTTCTCTTTTATTTTTTATGTGTTCTCTTTTCCAGGGATTGGTAGACCTGGCACTCCACTCACGCAAGGCAAGTGCCCCTCCACTGAACTGTACCCTTTGCACTATGAACATTTATAAACATCAGGATTAAGTTCACGGCAAAATTGAAAGGAAGATCCAGAGATTTCCAGTAGACTGTGTGCCTCTCACACATGAGTTGCCTCCCTCCACAGGCAGTGCCCTCCTCTAAAGTAGTACACTTAGTGTAGACAATGACTTACACTGGCCCATCATTACCAAGCGAAGTCTGCAGTCAGTGTTAGGATTCACTGTTTGTGTTCCCCTTCTCATGGTTCTATTGTAATGTGAAGTGTATTTACAGTTCAATTTATATTTGTGTTTAATTTTTTGTTAATACTCCATATTTAGAAGAATTTAGGAAATGAATTATAGGAAATTTATAACCTAAAATACTTCATTCATTTAATTTTCCTTGAATTCCTGTACATGAAAATGTTTTAAATCACTATGGCTACTTTGTGTGAATTAAGATTAAACTTTTAACATTTTAAACAAATGTGTTTGACTTAAAATGTTGCCCCTCTTATGAATTATTTTCCCACTTAAGTATTTAATTTATATGGCTTTGTATAATATTCCACTCTTTGGTTTAGGAGATGATAGTAATAGTGTGCTACTTTGATCTTGGAATTACCTCCTATTGTACATTGAGTTTCTATAACATGGTAATAGTTTCAGTACCTGTCTTTAATTAATAGCTTTTCTTCTTTGTTTCTTCTCTTCTGTTTTCTTTTCGGTTCCATTCTTTTCTTTTTTGCAGTGGTTGCCAAAAAACCTGAGATTCCATTCGTATCCGGCAAGTGCTGTACCATGGAGTTGTACCCTTTGCACTATAAACTGTTTTTTTAAATTTCAGGCTTAAGTTCACAGCAAAATTGAAAGGAAGATCCAGAGATTTGCAGTTGATCATGTACCTCTCACACATAAGTTGCCTCCCTCTATGGCCAGTGCCCTCCCTTAGACTAGAACACTTGCTATGGAGAGTGACTTAAACCGGTCCATTATTATAATCCAAATCTGCAGTTAATATTAGTTTCACTGTTAGTGTTCTCCATCTGATGGGTCTATTCAAATGTGTAGTGTATTTGCTGTTGCATTTATATTTGTTCTTAATTTTGTGTTAAATTCCAGAATTCATAAGTATTTAAGACATGAAGTATAGGAAATTATGATTTAAAATATTCCTTTTATTTAATTTTCAATTTTGTAATCTTGTACATGATAAAGTATTTTAAATCAGTAGGTCTAGTATCTGTGCACTAACATTATAGTGAAGTTTTAATATTTTAATAAATGCATTAGACCTAGTAAAACCATTTTACTACATGATTGTATCACTAAGAAGTGATTGTTGTGAATAAAAATAAAATGTTAAGTCACCTATCAATTATTTTCTTGCCTAAGTATGTGACTTATATTGTTCTATATATTTTCCTATTCTTTGGTTTAGGAGATGATACCTATTCTGTACTACTTTGATCTTGTAATTATCTCCAGGTATATACTGAGTTTCTGTAACATGGTAGTAGTAGTTTCGGTAACTACATTTAATTAACAGCTTTTTCCTGTGTTGTTTTCTTTTGTCTTCCCTTTTGCAGAGCCTCAACCTATTCTTGTGGCTCCATTCAGGCCAGGCAAGTGCGCTATCACTGAGGTGTATCCTTTACACTACGAAGTTTGCTTTTTTATATCAGGTTTAAGTTCACTGCAAAATTGAAAGGAAGCTCCAGAGATTTGCAGTTGATCATGTGCCTCTCACACATAAGTTGCCTCCTTCCATGGCCAGTGCTCTCCCCTAGAGTAGTACACTTGTGATAGATGATGACTTACCATGAGTCTACCCTTATCCTTAAAATCTGAATCTGCGGTTAATGTTAGGGTTCACTGTTAGTGTTCTCCATCTGATGGGTCTAACAAATGTGTAGGGTATTTACTGTTGCATTTATGTTTGTTCTTAATTGTTTGTTAATACTCCATATTCAGAAGAATTTAGGAGATGATTATAGGAAATTTTTAATCCAAATGTTACACTTCTTTAATTTCTACTTCTGAAATCCTATACATGAAAAATAGTTTTAAATTAGTATGGTTACTTTGTGTGTACTAACATTAGAGTAAACTTTTAATTTTTTAAGTAAATGTGTTAGACTTAGTAAAAGAATATTACTACATGGTTGTATTACTGAAAAGTGATTTTTGTGACTAAAAATAAAATTTGAAGTCACTTAACAATTATCTTCCCACTAAAGTATGTAATTTGTATTGTTCTGTATAATGTCCTACTCTGGTTTAGGAGGTGATATCTATACACTGTTACTGAGTTTTTGAATTATCTCCAATTGTATACTAAATTTCTGTATCATGGTATTAGTAGATTCATTAACTTTCTTTAAATAATACCTTTTTCTTTGTTTCTTTGTTTATTCTCTTTTTTTTCTGTTTCATTGTCTTCCTTTTTGCAGTGGTTGCCACTCAACCCGAGACTCCACTCAAGTCAGGCAAGTGCTCTACCACAGAGCTGCACCCTTTTCACTAAGAACTTTGTTTTTTATGTCTGGCTTAGGTTCACAGCAAAGTTGAAAGGAGGATCCAGAGGGCTTTGATTGATCATGTCCCTCTCACACAAAGTGTTTTGCTTCCCTCCATGGCCAGTGCCCGCCCCTAGAGGAGTACCCTTGTTACAGATGATGACTTACAGTGGTCCATCGTTACGTTGTCATCTAACGTTGGCAGTTAACATTAGGGCAAACTGTTGGTGTTCTCCATCTGATGGGTCTATTCAGATGTGTAGTATATTTACTGCTGCATTTATATTTGTTCTTGTTTTTTTCTTAATACTGCAGAATTCAGAAGTATTTAAGAAATTAAGTATAGGAAAATTTTTATTTCAAAATACTCCATTTATTAATTTTTACTTCTGAAATCCTATACATGAAAAGAGTTTTAAAGCACTATGTTTACTGTCTGTGTAATAACATATAATAAAGTTTTAATATGTCAATAAATGCATTAGACTTAGTAAATAACATATTACTACATGACCTTGTCACTGAGAAGTGATTTTTGTGACTAAAAATAAAATTTTAAGTCACTTATACATTATTTTCCCACCCAAGTTTGTAACTTATGTTGTTCTCCGTATTTTCCTATTCTTTAGTTTAGGCGATGATATCTAGTCTGTGCTACTTTGATCTTGTAATTATCTCCAGGGGTATACTGACTTTCCGTATCTTCTGCAGTACTGGGTTTAGTAACTATCTTTAATGAATAGCTTTGTTTCTTCTCTTTTATTTTCTATGCGTTCTTTTTTGCAGTGATTGGTAGACCTCGGACTCCATTCATGCAAGGCAAGTGCCCCTCCACTGAACTGTACCCTTTGCACTATGAACATTTTAAAATATCAGGCTTAAGTTCACAGCAAAATTGAAAGAAAGCTCCAGAGATTTCCAGTAGACTGTGTGCCTCTCACACGAGTTGCCTCCCTCCATGGCCAGTGCTGTCCTCTAGAGTAGTACACTTGTTATAGACGATGACTTACACTGGTCCTTGGTTCCCATCCAAAGTCTGCATTTAACACTAAGTTTCACTGTTAGCATTCTTCATGTGATGGTGGATTGGAATTTGTTGTGTGTTTCCTTTAGCAGTGTCATGCCTCAGACAGCTCCTTTGTGCTATTTGTTCATTGCCTCCCTGGCCCTGCACCACCCCACCAATACTGCAACCACTGAACTTTTCATTTTCCTGGCAGTGATCATTTTAGCAGATCTGCTCCTTCATTGAAATGATACAGTGGATAATTTTTGAAGATTAAAAGCAGTAACTGTTCAAGCTAACTGAATGTAGCCAATAAAGCTGTTACTTGAACTGCCTTTTTTCCTCTTATTGGGGATGTTGCTAGGGACCGAAGCCAGTGCTTTGGCCATTCCAGGTCAATGATTTACCATGGAGCTATACCTCCAGCCTTAGTTTTTGTGTTTTTCATGCTTGTATGAATATGCGCTGATGGCATGTGCTCCACATGCTGAGCTGGCCTGCTTTCTATGTGGATTCCTCATCATGAGGAGGGTTGCCAAAAGTGACATCATGCTGAACTTCAGAGCACGAACTGCACCACCTTGTTCTGTTGGGTCCAGACAGAACCTTTGAGAATGGAGGCAGACACTGGCGAGTGCTGTGCTTCTCAAAGTGCCTCAGGGCTTTCATTCTTACCTGGAGATGGGAAGTAAGATGAGGGAGTAATGAAAGCTATAGGTGAGTCAAAATGCTCCTCTTCCTTTGAGTGCAAGTCATGTTAAGTTAGTAAAACATGACCGATTTTATCATTATTATTATTGGTCCTCACTCCTTCAGTACTAGGGACTCAGTGGTCTTGTGCGTGCTGTGTACACATGTTTACCACTGAGTCCAACCCCAGCCCTGACTTTGTATGAATAGGTTCTCTGTCACGGGAAATCAGAGGCTTTTGGTTCTTTGTGTTGTTTTGTTTTTTTCCCAAAGTTTACATGACGTAAAATTTTGTCTTTCACTTGTCACATTCTGAGAGGCTCAGTGAGTTAGTGGTTTCATTTGTATGTTTTCATTATTCCATGTAAGATAGTGCTCCCTGGCAGCTGGTTGCAACCTCCCCGGTGCTGGCTTTTAAGCTTTTCAGACTGGACCAGCTTGTAAGGGCTTGAGCTCTGAAGTGGTTCTTTCCATGGGAAGTAAGATAGCAGATGAACTTGAGCCCTGTTTGCATCACACATATGACAGAGAAACCAGGGAGAACTAAGGGAGCTCCTTAGCATCTTCCCTAGGAGAGGAATAGCAAGAGTAAGTGCACAGACTTCTCCTGAGCTCTTCTCCACTGAGAGCTGGAAATCATTGCAATGGTGCTTGTTTCAGGTGTGCTTCCCATATTTTGCCATGCTGCAAATTAGAATGCCCTTTACAGCTTCCTTGAGCTAAAGTATTTCCTCTTCAAACTCTACAGTTCCAACTGAATGCTACAGCAGCTGCCTTGTGTCTTAAGAAAATAAGTGTATCTTTTATGATCGTTCCTAGTGCCACTACTCTAGGAAAGTCATGCTCTTTGTTTGCCATGTCAGCTTATGCCAGCGATACTGCTAATGGTACCATTTCTGTCAATATAATACCTTCAGGTAGGATGTGATTGTGCACAGCACTATTGCTCATTTAGCTATCAAATGTAGATAAATTCTCTTCTTCCCTGCATTTCTTAAAAATAGGAAGTGAGATTTCTTAATGCATTGCATATCAATAGCATAATTAATACTGATTATAGAATGGGCTACAGATGTAGCCCAAAAGACTATTTTGTGTCAAAACATCAGAGTTATACTTTTAATAGTTTATATTTTTGTTAATTCAAAATGTATTTTACCTTTTTCTTGAATAGTGTGTGATATTTCTGATGATGACTCTCTAATCAGGTAAGAATATATAGATTTTTAAATATCGTACAGTGACTAATTAGTGAATGCAGAAAAGAAACCAATTGTTTTAGTGTTCTGTTCCAGGCCAGACAAAGTACCTGTGCTGTTTTAATCCAGTTTTATTAATTTGGCTGCTTTTATGAATGGAGGTTATTTAAATGGTCCATGGTCTCATAATTAAGAAGTAACTGACCCATGTGTTGACTGTTAGCCTGCCTGGCTCCCAGATGCCTTCCATTGCCCTCTGCAGTGCTGGGATCCAAATGCAGGTCATTTAAGATCAATGTAGAAAGTCACCATAAGGGACATGTCAAGTCTGCTTAGTTTTCCTGAGAAGTTGGTGAGTTTATTCTAAAGATAATGATTGAATTGATAGCCAGTTTCTTGTTTTTACCACTATAGAACTTAGGGGAGATGTGGTAGTTAAGACTATCTTTATGTAAATCATCTTATATTATTTATGTTGAGGGTTTATTGCAATGACATTTTTAATGCATGTGTCTATTCACCAATTTCCCAGTTTGGTTTTCCTTTCAGGCTATTACTACTGCCTAGTTCTATGATTTTTTTCCTCTTAAGTAAAATATTTTCTTGACTTTTAAAAAAATTTTTCTTCTACTTGGTATTTTTTTTTTTATTTCTGCTGCCTTAGTGGTTTTTTTTTAGTACCAGAAATCAAATCTCACGACTGCATTCTTGCAAGGCAAGTGCTTATGCTGCTTAGTATTTCTTATTGTTGTTTAGACAGAGTCAAAAACAAGTAAACTTTCAGGTTCTAAGAAATCTAAGAGACCAATAAAAATATCCTCTAGTGCTCAACCTGTTTAACATTCTAGCCATATGGTTGAATCCTAGAGAATTTGACATACAATGATATTAAAGTGACTTATCTGAATATAGTTCATGACAAAATGAGGTTGTATTCAGGTTTTATATTTGCTGTGTCTGGTACTCTTTGTCATGTCTCCTTCTGTGAGAGTTTCCATAATAGAAGAGAGGAGGAAGTCCAGCATGTCCAGTGGGAGATCATGAGAGTGGAATTCACAGGGGAAGGGCATGTTGGAAGGACAACATTGGGTGGGGCAAGACTGAGGTCTTACAAATCAGAATATTGAGGTTTGTCACAAGTCTGATAAAGATAATACAGAAAATGAAGCCCCAGAATACTGAGAATTATCCTGACAAATGTATTAAAAGTGTGGATTCAAAGGAGTTCTGAAGAGATTTTTGCTTTTTTGTTCAGTCGGAGGAACAGCGAAACTTAAAAATTGGTATTAGATTAGTTAGGGTAATCTGAGCCACCTGGAAGTCTCTAGAGCATGAAGGAATATCCCATGCCCTCCTTCCTACTCAGTTCATGGAGGGTGGCTTAGGCCTCTCACTCCACTGGGGACCAGAAGCAGCTGAACTTCATGGGCCTGTTACCCAGGACAGGTGTCCCTCATTTCCACCTCTTATGTAAGGTAGGCCTGCAAGGCAGATGTGTCCTCTTGATAGGTGGTACCTTGCTTCTGCTGAGGGCAGGTGATTGTGACACAAATACTTCTTTTCAGGAGCAGCTGCTCTTGGTTATTTGAGCACATCCTTTTTTTTAGGAATCTGTGCCTTCTTAGGCTGAAGATTTAAGTGAACACTGATGTGGAGCCCCACCATGAGAAACCCAGAAGGAAGAGCACTTACAAAACGACATTAGACTAGATTTATAATAACAGAGGAGCAGCTACCAGGGTTGATTTTC